CCCCAAAACCCCAAAACCCCAAAACCCCAAAACCCCAATGAAGGTAGATTATGATCATTAAGAGTATGATAATATAATAGAAAAATACTTTTTTAGTTAGCTAGCTTAAATGAGCTTTTAGCTTGACCTTTTTAAAAATAAATTATAATTTTCAATAGATTATTAATGAGTTAGTTAGGAAAGGAGTAAATTAATGGCTAAATAGATTAGAAAATTTATCTTGCTAACTGTGCTATCATTAATATGCCAAGAGACTATGACTCAAGTACATCTGGAAATCCATTAAGTAGTAAAACTAATGACAGATCTAGCATTTTCATTTAGAGCTAGAAGAGCAGTAGTAAAAAACTGACTTTTAACTTTGAGGGGTCAGTGGAACTTCCGAAATTAAGGTAAAATCCTAAAAAGAACTTGTCTGCCAGTAAAACTAAATAATTAATACAGTAATTAAAAGAGGACAACCTATTATATGTGGCAGGAAGTAATCTTAAGGACAAAGCAACATACTCGCACACAGATGAGTAGGTATACGACAGAACTATAAAACAATTACAGTTCAATAAGTTATTTCCTAGGGATGAATCTACTGAGCTCTTTACCAATTAAAAATCGAGAAATCTGAAATGCGTGATTAATAACAAAAGAAGAGTCAGACGATTCCAGAAACTAATTAATAATATCTAGTAGCAGAAGAGTCTGATTAAAAAGCAATTTCAATCAATGAGTGATCTTAAGAACAATCCTATTCCTGGCTCAAATACTTTGGTTATACCTTCTTCGATGTCTATTCAAACTACAGATTTCACTTCCAGTTAGTAACAAAGCATTTATTAGAGTTAAGATCCGGTAAGTTATCCAAAAATACTATTTTATTATTAAAGTCAAAATTAACCAATATAAATTCCTAATCTCATCCTGCTATAGAAAGCACTTCACAAGCTTTACAAGAAGCACAGAGTCTAGAATAAGATTTTCAATACTATAGATAATAATGGGACCTAAAGGGTTGATCCTCTTTAACCCAAAATGAACGAATAGAATTAGCAGAAGAGTCAGTAAGTTTTTAGCGCAACTCCTACTTAATTTGGAAAAGTGTCATACCAAAAAATACTAGCAATACCTGAAAAGTAGAATAATTGGGAGAAGTACCTATTTAAAGAGAATCACAAGATTAAGAAAGTCTGCGAATCCTTTAATAACCCCAAGAAACCTAAGCTCTACAACTAAAGAAATCGGGGCTAGTTTATGTCTTTTAACGACAAGATCAGTCACAATGACTAGTTGCTCTTTATGAATCCAGAATCAATGTTGGACAGAGATCATAGTACCAAGAGCTTAGTACTGAACAGTAATTCAAATACCAAGAGTAGAGATACTCTAATGAGTAATACTATTATTATGGATCAGAAAGATGCCATGAGTATAATAAAACAGTCTCTTCATAGAAAGCAGTACTCCATTAAATCCTTCGTATTTGATGATGCTTCCCTTGACTAGACTAAAGATGATTAGAAATTTTACAAGAATCCCTAATCTAAAGGAGACTTAACCTCAAAGAGAGGTGATGATCTTCCCTCTGAAAGTCTTAAACAATTCTTCACAAAATAGAGGAGTTAATTCATTATCAAGAAAAAAATGCTTAAGGATGATTTGAAACGAAAGAACAACCAGCTCTAATTATTACTTGACGGTAAAACTAACGTAGTGAAGAATAAATTGCACTTCCAAGTGCTGGGTTTTGAATCATTCTCCAATTCTACTCCTAAAAATGTAAGAATCAACTTGCCATACCCAGATGTATCTCAAAGTAGTGGGGTGACAAACTCAATCCGATACTCTAAGGTGATGGTAAGCAACTAATTATCAATGAAAAACAGTCAAGACTCTTTAAATTTTCGCTATCTCAGACTTAAAGAACCTCACGGAGTTCAAGAATAGCCAATCATAGTAAATTCTTAAAGTCTTAAAATTCAAAGCACTGAGTCTTCAATTATCCAGCAGCAAAAATGATAGCAATTAATAATAAAGACAATGCTTATTTAAATATTATCAGATAACTTAAGCATTTAACTACAGGACTAAGGCAATTAAAAATATGCAATTTTAATAAATACATTACTTTATTTCATAATTTTTCAATTATTTAAATAGATTTCAGTTGGGGTTTTGGGGTTTTGGGGTTTTGGGG